TACAGGGTAAGTTGAGTTTTCACCCAGAAATGCATACCTGAGGCCCTCAGGCAAAGGTTTGAGGTCGACTTTAGGCGCCTTAAGCTCAGACCAATCTCCTTGAGCTTGCTCCTTGCTCTCAGCCCCCAGCTCGATCGAGTTCGTTTGTTCGAAACTCGACTCGATCGAGTTCTTGATCGAGCTCACTGCCATGACTTCGCAAACTGGCCTGTCCAATCTCTCAAGGCTCAGAATGTTTGGAACTGGTCTGAAGGTGTCAAGGAGCTTCTTGTACTCATCAGTTTCTGAGCTCACATATCCCTCTGAAGAATCCTTGGTCAAAGCAACTTGTAGTGGATCCTCTGTTGATAACTCTTCTAGAAGCTCATCTGCCAACTGATCCATTTCCTCAACATAAAAGAGCTGACCTTCTATAGTTGGTTTCCTCATTGTATCTTGATATCAAACTTCATCTTAGGTCCTTTCCCAAGTTTAACTCAATTGTTCCTTCACAGACATCTATCATTGCTCTTGCTGTAGCTAGGAATGGCCTTCCTAGAATCAATGGATCTGTTGGTTCCTCATCCATCTCAAGCACAATGAAGTCGTGGGGTCTTTCTCCACATTCCCTATCCTCAAAGGCAGGTCTTCAAGCATCCCAGTTGGTAACCTTATCGATCTATCTGCCAAGACTAGTGAGATTCCGCAGGCTTGGTACTTGTGATATCCCAGTCTCTTTGCTACAGACAAAGGCATGAGGCTGACAGATGATCCTAGATCGCAGAGCTGTTTTTGAAAGATAGGGGTCCCAACATGCAGGGCAAAGTGAAACTCCCCGGATCTTCCTTTTTGTCGGAGATGACCTTCCGCTGAATGATTGCACTGCACTCACGAGTCAACACTACCATCCCTTGTGCTTCCCTGGTTCTTTGCTGAACAGCATCCTTCAGAAATTTCTGATAAGGTGGAATGAGCATCAAGGCATCGATGAAGGGCAACTTCACTCAAGCTGTCTCATTAGTTCATCAAACTTGGCCTTGTGTGCTTCCAACAGTTGTTTCTTGAACCTTCCTGGAAAGGGCAGAGGGGGCTTGTATGGTGGTGGTCCTGCTGGAGTGTCTTTCTTCTTTGCAACAGGTTTAGCTGGTTGGCTGGAGCTTGCTTTGTCTGCTCTCTTCTGGCTCGATCGAGCTCTGGTTTGTCTTGCAGTGTCTCAGTTTCTTCAGCTCGATCGAGTTCTGGTTCAGGGTTTTGTTCCAGCTCGATCGAGTTCGGGTCGAGTTATCAGCATAGTCGACTAAATCCTCCCCTTCCTCGTCATCGATGTCCACAGCGATTTGGGGTGGGCTACCTCTACTCGGGAATTGCTTTCCACTTCTTAGTGTAACTGCTTGGGCATACTCTTGTGGTGAAGAGGATGATGCACTTGAAGACTCAATGATTTGGACTCTTGAAGTCAATGACTCTAGTTTAGAGTGTATCTCAACCAGCTTGTTGTTCATTTCCAGAGAACCTTTGGCTTGCCCTTGTAAAAGTTGTTGGAGCATTTCCTTCATATCCCAATCTTGAGTTGGTTGGGTATGAGTAGTCCTTGGTTGAACCTTGTGGAACACTTTGTTGTGGTGCGGCCAGGGGGCTTGATAATTGTTGTATCGCCCTTGTTGAGGATTCCTATAGCTTCCTTGTCTATTTTGAATGTAGCAAACTTCTTGTGTTGTCTCCTCCCCTTCCTGGTCCTTGACTAGGTTTGTTCTGAGACATAGTTGACATGCTTGGCAGGGAATTGGCTAGGATCAGTTTGTCCAACTTCGAGTTGAGTGCAAGCATGTCTTTTCTCATCTGAGCTCCAGCTCGATCGAGTGCGCGGTCGAGCTCCATTGTACGATCATATCTTCTCCATAGCATTCCTTGATATGGCTATGTTCTCCACAAGTTGCCAGCCATCATCTACATCCTGGTTGAGGAAGTTCCCATTGCTAGCTGTGTCTAGCATCTCCCTATACCTAGGCAAGCATCCTCTATAAAGAGTGGAGAGTAGTGATTCATTGTTGAATCCATGGTGTGGGCACTGACTTGTGTAGCCTTTGAACCTCTCCCAAGCCTCTGCGAATGTCTCATTGTTTCGCTGGATGAAGCTGGATATCTCTCCTCTAAGCTTGGCTGTGCGACCGGTGGAGAAAAACTTAGCAAGAAAGGCCTTCTTGCATTCATCCCAAGTGGTGATTGTGCCATGGGGCAAGCTCTTCTCCCATTGGTGAGCTTTGTCAGCTAGAGACATAGGAAAGAGTCTCAGCTTGATGGCATCTTCAGAGACACCATTGATCTTTGTCAAATCACAAAGCCTATCAAACTCATCAAGGTGGTCAATGGGGTCTTCACTTGGCAATCCATGGAACATCTTGTTCTGGACAAGGTTGATCATTCCCAGCTTGATCTCAAAGTTGTGGTTCTGCACTGGTGGTGGAACAATCCCTTGTCTCTGTTGGTGGCGGTTTGGAGCATCTCCTTGACCAATCGGTCGAGTTTGCCTAGCTCGACCGAGTCCATTGCCCAAAGGGTTTCCATTCCCCTCTGGTACATCCATTGTATCAGCAACAAGCACCTCAGGTTCCTCTTGTACCCTCTGTGACCTCTGAACCCTCTTTCTACCCGTTGTAAGTCTAGCTCGACCAAGTCTTCAGTTAGACCGACTCGATCGAGTTCGCATACACCTGCAAAAAGAGACAAAAACCCAGCAGTACAATAGAACAGGGGTGGTATAGCTTGATCGTCCAAGTGTGTTTGAAACTCAAATGCAACAAAAATATCCCAAATCGGCAACGGCGCCAAATTGATGATAGGATTTGTGTGTGGATGTGAAAAGATATGAAATGAGATGGTGGAATGCAACAGTGGTATATGATGGTGGTAAGATGCAAACACAAACACAGTCAACAATTCCCTTTAACCATCATAGTGATGTAGTACAAAGGGTTATCAATCCAAAATGGGAAACTTGTCACTCTATGAGAATATGAAACAACCAGGAAAGTCAAGCAAGCAGTTAATAGATTTGAAGTAACACTAACAACCTAAAAAAATGAAAAGCAGTGCAATAAAAGTAAACAAAGCAGTGAAGTGTCGAGTCGACCAGCTCGATCGAGTTTAGGGACGAGTTGAGACAAACAAAGCTAAAGGTGACGACTTTAACAAGATAAAGAGAGAATTAGGGTTCAAGACAGGGTTTTGCAATCAAAGGAATCTACACTTAATCAATCTAGCTCTTAAAACTCCTTGTATCAAGGCTTCTCTTGATATTGGGCTTCTCAATGCCTAGCCAACCCTTTCCCAAGGTGGAGGCTATCAACCAAGGAATGATCTCAGAAACAGGGGGTTAGCCAGTGAGAATCAAACCTTGGAGGCTATAGGATCATTGCCCAAACTAATCCATCCAACCCCTTAGACCTCTATTGTCTAGAGCAAGAGATATTGGAGCTCTTAGTGGATCTTTTCCAGCGAATGCCATCACTTTCGTGTGGGGAGTCGCCTAAGGACTTACAAGCCAGGGGTAGTGGTCATGTAGCCTTAAGATCTATCCAAAAGAGAGAGAATCTAGATTAAGACCATAAGCTAGAAGGATTAAGCATATGAAACCTCTAATCTATCCCATCTCAAACCCAATGGGTAACTACTCACTACACATGAATGTAAACACAAGCAAATGCAATAAAAGAGACATCATAAGAAAGAGGAGATGAAATTAAACAACTTTTATTGAAATAAGCAAGTGCAAATACAAGAGAGATTATCCAGGATCTAGATTCAAGAAGCAAGAGCTTCAAGAACACAAAGATGGGATTAGATCTCTAAAAAGTAAAAGACAATAAATTAAAAGAAACTAAAACAAAATAATCTAAAGCTTGGTGGTTTTTTCGTGGCTTAGAGCCTTTAAATACAAAGAGGATTAGGTTTAGGGTCAAAGGAAAGTCAAGGGGGAAGCAACATTTTTCGGGTTTGACTTTGACTTCCAGCTCGATCGAGTTGAAGCTTGGCCGGTCGAGTTGAGGAACTCGACCGGTTGGTCGAGTGGACGGTCGAGCTGGTCTTCAAGATGGCTTCTCCCTTCTTCCTTTGCGTATCCAGTTGAGCTGCTTCCATGTGCCAAGTCCCTCCATGCTCCTTGTCCCATATGCTCCAGAATGCTCCAAAAGACCTATTTCAAAGGACCAAACATGCATATGTATGCAAATGCAACCTAAAACTAACATGAATGCATAAGAAGAGAAAAGGAACAAGATATGATGCAAATGGAAGCTAAAACTATGCAAAAGATGCATAAAAGATGTGCTAAAACTATGTAAAATGCAAGTACATCAGCCTCCTATGGATAGCATGAGTGAGGCATTTGATCAATTGCAAATGGTCAGAGATGTTCTCGCCAACAGTGACAAAGTTTCAGAGGTCCTGAAGGAGTCTACTCATCAGTTCAACCTGCTTACTTCACCCACTTTCCTTGTGGTCAAGGATCAAGGGAAATTCACTCTCCCTTGCACACTTGGGCATCTTGAGCTTGACAATGCCTTAGTGGATTCTGGAGCAAGCATCAATCTGATCTCTCTCTCCATGGCAGAGAAACTAGGCATTGCTGGAGGCTTGCAGCGCCCTACTACTTCAATCATGTTTGGAGATGCAACTTCTAAGTCTCCTCTTGGAGTGTTCAAGAACTATCACTTGAAAATTGGAGAATGCATCATCCCCTTGTGTTCTTGTGTTTAGAGCCCTTCCTAGTGGCTCATCAAACAAAGCTTGAAGGCTTTCTTCATCAAGAACACAAGGGGATGGTGCATTCTCCAATTTTCAAGTGATAGTTCTTGAACACTCCAAGAGGAGACTTAGAAGTTGCATCTCCAAACATGATTGAAGTAGTAGGGCGCTGCAAGCCTCCAGCAATGCCTAGTTTCTCTGCCATGGAGAGAGAGATCAGATTGATGCTTGCTCCAGAATCCACTAAGGCATTGTCAAGCTCAAGATGCCCAAGTGTGCAAGGGAGAGTGAATTTCCCTTGATCCTTGACCACAAGGAAAGTGGGTGAAGTAAGCAGGTTGAACTGATGAGTAGACTCCTTCAGGACCTCTGAAACTTTGTCACTGTTGGCGAGAACATCTCTGACCATTTGCAATTGATCAAATGCCTCACTCATGCTATCCATAGGAGGCTGATGTACTTGCATTTTACATAGTTTTAGCACATCTTTTATGCATCTTTTGCATAGTTTTAGCTTCCATTTGCATCATATCTTGTTCCTTTTCTCTTCTTATGCATTCATGTTAGTTTTAGGTTGCATTTGCATACATATGCATGTTTGGTCCTTTGAAATAGGTCTTTTGGAGCATTCTGGAGCATATGGGACATGAGGAGCATGGAGGGACTTGGCACATGGACGCAGCTCAACTGGATACGCAAAGGAAGAAGGGAGAAGTCATCTTGAAGACCAGCTCGACCGTCCACTCGACCAACCGGTCGAGTTCCTCAACTCGACCGGCCAAGCTTCAACTCGATCGAGCTGAGAAGTCAAAGTCAAACCCGAAAAATGTTGCTTCCCCCTTGACTTTCCTTTGACCCTAAACCTAATCCTCTTTGTATTTAAAGGCTAAAAGCCACGAAAAAACCACCAAGCTTTACTTTATTTTGTTTTAGCTTTTCTTTAATTTATTGTCTTTTACTTTTTAGCAACCTAATCCAATCTTTGTGTTCTTGAAGCTCTTGCTTCTTGAATCTTAGATCCTGGATTATTTGCTTTGTATTTGCACTTGCTTATCTATATTATAATGAGAGGATAACTCTCTCCATATGAGTGACACCTCAGCAATTTTTTTTGTCTATCAAATTGCCACATGGCATTCTCTCATTTATTAAAAAAAAATATATTAAAAAAAACATGAAACTCAAACTCAAATCGTTTTATCTTCCACAGTTACGTTTTGTCATCACGATCGGCAATTTCACAGTTCATGGATTGATTAATGTTCACCGGAATACAACTTCAATCCAATAAAAAGGACCATCAAAGGAGATTTCTATACATAAGGCCATCATCAAACTATAAGAAATTGCCTCAAACCTTTAACGTAGTAGAGAAAGAGTGTCAACGCTAAAAAAAGCTACAGAATTTGGGGAATAAGACTAACCGGTGATACGAACGAGAGTTTCTCTTCCAGATAGATCAGTCACATGCTGCAAGATTGAAAAGGACTTGAGGTTATATGTAATGCACAAAAAGAATATATCAATGGAGCTAAAATGATGATAGAACCTTACAATGAAAGTGTCATTGAAGGATGCAAAGATGTGAACAACTCCAAAAACTTGCTCCCCATCACGGACAGCTGGTTCCAGCGTCACATTTTCCTCCTTGTGTTCTCTGGTCTTTCACCTCGACTACATAAACACAGAGAGAGAGAGAGAGTGAGAACAAAACAAATCACTATCCACAAGCAAACGATTTACGTGATTGATTGACTATCGACTGAAAATCTTCACATTGCTTAAACAGAAATTAACTTCAAAAAGTTTATCCAGGTTGCAATTCGAAAGGTAATCCACAATTTGAGATAGAAATACATTTGATTCGAAATTGAGATCTAAGAAACTCCAAGGAGTGGTGGAGGAGAGAGATGGTGGGTGTAAGTGATTACCATGATTAGGGTTTTTGGATCTTCTTCGCTGAGAGCTGACAGAGGCAAACGAAAGAGGATGTTACGGCGACAAAATTCGCTTCATAAAATTAGGGTTTTGATGGGAAGGCTAAAATTTATTGACGTAAAGACTTCCACGTTCGCTTTACCTCCGTAAAGGCTAAAAGGATAACGTATTTTCAAAATAAAAAATAACAAAAATATCAAACTCCACGTTTCCTTTACCTCCGTCCTCTTCGGCCCAGCGGACGGCGAAAGCTCTCTCCTCGGAGAGATCGATGGCGACTCCAATCTTATGGCGAGCTCCAGCTGTGGGAGTTTGTGTTGTGTTAATGATCAGCCACCCGATGTTGGGCCACCCCGTGGATGTTGTTCCCACAATTGCCCACGCTTCAGATGATGACCTCTGAGCGTGAGGGGGGTGTTAATGATGAAAGTCCCACATCGGAAGTTGGAGAAATAACTAACTAATATATAAAGGGTTAGGGCCTCTCCACCTATTGCCAATTGGTTTTAGGTTGGATGCCCATATATAACCCGAATTTGACATGGTATCAGAGCAGTCGATTCTGGGCCACCCGTGGATGTTGTTCCCACAATTACCCATGTTTCAGATGATGATCTCTGAGCGTGAGGTAGGGTGTTAATGATCAGCCACCCGATGTTGGGCCACCCCGTGGATGTTGTTCCCACAATTGCCCACGCTTCAGATGATGACCTCTGAGCGTGAGGGGGGGTGTTAATGATGAAAGTCCCACATCGGAAGTTGGAGAAATAACTAACTAATATATAAAAGGTTAGGGCCTCTCCACCTATTGCCAATTGGTTTTAGGTTGGATGCCCATATATAACCCGAATTTGACATGTTCCGGCGGAGGAGGGAGTGGAGGAGGAGTGGGAGTGGTGGTGGTGGTGAGAGTGAGAATGACGAGGGGAAGGAGGGTGATGGATTTTGATGTAATGATGTGTCGTGGATGAGTGAGAAAAGCTTCGGCGATGTGAGATGGTGATTGAGCCGCGCCAATATCCCTTGCGCGAGAATGACAAATATTATAGAAGGGAATATATTATTGAGTTGTGTTGTTGATACAAGAGAATAAGACCCATATATATAGGGTTAACATTAACATAATGATAACACCAAATAATGTAAATCTTCCTAATCCTTATCACAATAGGATTTCTCTAGAATATTCTTCGGTTTGGCTTCATGGGCTTCACTTCATAAACGGGCTTCAATGGCCCACAATACTTGGTTCACCTTGCTCACCAAGATATCTCCAATACTCCCCCGCACGACAAAGGTGGACGCGAAACGCAAAATTGCAGTCACAATGCGGAACACCTATGTCGTGGACAATCATGTCGAGGATGGCAATACAAGTCAATAGGGATGGAACATGCTCGTCTTTGGTCTTGAAAGAAAGGGAATAATAACATCCCGTGGAAGCAAAATCCTGCAATTCCACAAATAATTGTCCTTGTCGCGGACAGCCCATAAATTGGACTAAAGATAAATGACCTAAAAACATGAGCGCTCCAATAAAATCCCTAAACCCATTACCAAACTCCCCAGTAATAGGAGAAACCAAAAACCTTGAGAAACTCTAAATTTAAGAATCAATCTCAAAAAAAATATAACTAATAACCACGTGAAAGCCACAAACTCACACTCTTTAACGTCACAACTTTAAAAGAACTCTTATAACTCTTGTATCAAACGAAAAACCAAATCTCCTAATATAGAATAATTCAATAAAAAATAAAAGATGAACCACATACTAATAAAAATCACGAACACCAAAACCTTGCTTAAGAGAAATAATAAACTAATCAATGAAACCTAGCGATTGTCATCTTCATCATCACTATCCCCCTCTTCGTCATCACCTACGATGGTTACGGTATCCATCGTAACTACCTAAATTAATGCGGAAGCTTTAACTTAGATCCACAAGGATCCCTGCTCTGCTACCATGACAAATATTATAAAAGGAAATATATTATTGAGTTGTGTTGTTGATACAAGAGAATAAGACCCATATATATAGGGTTAACATTAACATAATGATAACACCAAATAATGTAAATCTTCCTAATCCTTATCACAATAGGATTTCTCTAGAATATTCTTCGATTTGGCTTCATGGGCTTCACTTCATAAACGGGCTTCAATGGCCCACAATACTTGGTTCATCTTGCTCACCAAGATATCTCCAATAGAGAACGGTGTGGTCGCCATGTGGTTCCATTTAGCTCCGCCGCGTTGAACAGCTGCTCGACAAATTCGCCGATTCTGAAACCTCCCACTCCCACCGGATTGCTTACAATATTGTGGATTGACCAAATCCAAACAAATACTTTTTTTTTTCTTTTTATAAAAAAGGAACATTTCATCGTAATTTTTAAAAATAAAGTAAAACGTTTTGGACCTTCAAAACGTCAAAAGTGCGGTGATTACGGCAACAAATTAAAAAGCTTTACTAATATTTCATTTTCTCCGTTCCTTAAAATTTGGTTTCACATTATTTATTATTTATCGTTTTTCATTTATTATTATTTTTTCTGAATTTTGTTATTCACTTTTTAACACATTAATTATTCATATCAAAAGAAAAATAATAACTAGGGGTAAAACAATAATTTGATTGGATTTTTAATTGTAAACCATTTCATAATGATAATTAAAAACAAATAGAGGAAGTATAATTCTTGAGGTATAATCTATACATTTTATGTTCATCATTTATGTGAGGAAATACAATTTCTCAATATTTAAGGAGCAATATAGAAAAAAATAGATAAAAATGTTTGGAAATTAATTGTAAAAAATTTAAATATAAATGATAAAAAAAAAATTGTAAAATTCATAACCCGCGCATCGCGCGGGCTTAGCCCTAGTTTCAATAAAAGTTGTTTAATTTCATCTCCTCTTTCTTATGATTTCTCTTTTATTGCATTTGCTTGTGTTTACATTCATGTGTAGTGAGTAGTTACCCATTGGGGTTTGAGATGGGATAGATTAGAGGTTTCATATGCTTAATCCTTCTAGCTTATGGTCTTAATCTAGATTCTCTCTTTTGGATAGATCTTAAGGCTACATGACCACTACCCCTGGCAAATCCCTTTAACATTCATTAAGCAAAAACAGTGAACCAAAAACATGCAAGATCAATCAACTCATTTGGTCTCAAGGGTTTATGGGTTAAGAGACAAAGAGGGTCTCTTTTGTATGGTGGTTTACTTCCTTTTTTAACTTCCCAAACCTTTACTAGACCCTTTTTAACACTGCCAACTCCCTGGACTTAACTAAACTCTTTTTCCTTTGGATTTTCCCAATTTTTACCACTTTTCTGGTTTTTGACACCCAACTCGATCGAGCTCGAGTTGGCACCCCCAAACTTAGCCTGAAAACAATCCCAAGAGAACTAGACAACTAGAACTACTGCCCCTGCCGGTTTAAACACAACACCTTATGCTAAGCAAAGCCAAGAAAGGTTCTCACATTCGCACAAGAGATAATATGGGGTTTGAAATGAAAAGGCTTAGGTTTAAGGTGTGGTAACTGTCTCAAAGATGGAGATCAGCTATCTGGACAAGCAAGAGGGATATGAAAATGGTAAAGAATGTCCAGATATGTATGTGGTAGCCATGAGTTGAAATCAAATGCAAGCATTGGTAATTAAAGATCAAGTTATGGTTCAAATAGATAGGGAAATGCATCAAATCACAGCAATGGTTGAATGAGATGTGCATGCAGTGATATGATCAAGATAAACATGGTTCTTGCTGCTCAATCAATCTCACCCTAATGCACAAGAGAATCTAAAAACAGGGCACTCAAGAAATCGCAAATGATGAACAAGTTTTCAAAGTCAAATCAACAATGCAAGTGAAAAATGCAATCCTAAACAATCTAACAAATATGAATGCAAAAAGATGAAAATATTTTTGGATTTTTTGAAAATTTTATGATTTTTTTGGTTTTTCTATGCAAAAGATGAATGAAAAACTAAGAACAAAGAAAACAAGGTTAAATCATCTCTTGAACCCTCCCCCAAACTTAAATCACACAGTCCCTTGTGTGAGAGAAATTTAGTGAAAGATTCAAGAGGGCAAAACCAAGAAAAAAACAAAGCAAAGAAAATATGAAATGGTATGTACAAGGGTTGTGTTTGATACCTCAGTGCCCCCCAAAGAACTGGGAGGCAAGGTCGTGGTCTGGAGAGGGTAGACGGCCATCAGGGCACTCCACTCGACTGGGTTCACGCTCGCTCGATCGAGCTTGCTCTTGACTCGATCGAGTTGTGCCTCGAGTTAGCCACTCTTCTTCCTAAAACCTGCCCTGTAAGACTTAGCCAAGAAAATCATAGAAAAAAGGTAAAGCATAAATATATAAGATAGACATGGGAATTCCTCCCAAGTGAGCTTGTTTTAGGTCTCATAGCTTGACCTTACCTTTTAGGCCGGGGTTGGATCTTGAAGAGGAGTGATGATCTCCTCTGTGGGGGTCATTCCTAGATATGGCTTGCATCTATGCCCATTCACTGTGAATTCCTTCCCCTCTTGATTGAGTAGAGTGAGGGATCCATAGGGAAACTTCGTGAATCTTGAATGGTCCCGCCCACTTTGACCTAGCTTCCCGGGAAACAACCTTAGCTTGGAGTTATACAAGAGCACACTGTCCCCAACCTTGAAGTCTTTAAGGCGAATCAGTTTGTCGTGGGCTGCCTTGGTTCTCATCTTATAGATCAGGAGTTCTCATAGGCATTCATTCTGATTTCTTCCAACTCAAACAAGTTCATTACTCTTCTCTCTTGTGCTGCCTTTATGTCAAAGTTCAGCATCTTTACTGCCCATAGTGCCTTGTACTCGACCTCCACAGGTAAGTGGCAATCCTTTCCATACAGCAAGTTGAAAGGAGACCTTCCAATGGGGGTTTTGTAAGCTGTTCTATAAGGCCCAAAGAGCTTCATCAAGTCTTGTTGACCAATCCTTCCTAGTGAAGCTCACTGTCTTCTCAAGAATGGCCTTTATCTGCCTATTGGAGACCTCAACTTGCCCACTGGTTTGAGGATGGTAAGGTGTAGCGACCTTGTGCTTGACTCCATAACTCTTCATCAACTTCTCAAACACCTTGTTGATGAAATGGGAACCTCCATCCGAAATAACAACCCTTGGGATGCCATATCTTGGAAAGATGATGGTTCTGAACAGTTTGATAACAACCTTAGCATCACAGGCTGGGCAGGGGATGGCTTCAATCCATTTGGACACATAGTCCACAGCAACCAGAATGTAGTTGTGCCCGTTTGAGGAAGGCTTGAAAGGTCCCATGAAGTCTATTCCCCATACATCAAAGATCTCAACTTCCAGAATTGGGTTTAGTGGCATTTCATCTCTCTTGGTGATACTCCTTTCCTTTGGCATGGATCACACTTGCGATGTAAGCTTGCTGCATCTTTAAACAAGGTAGGCCACCATAAACCCAGATTGCAGAACCTTAGTTGCTGTTTTGAATGTAGCAAAGTGACCTCCATAAGCTGACCCATGGCAATGCTCTAGAACTCCTTGTACATCTTCTTCAGCTATGCATCTCCTGTAAATGCTATCTGGTCCTCTCTTGTACAAGTAAGGCTCATCCCAATAGTAATGCCTAGCATCCTTGAAGAATTCTTCCTCTTGTAAGCATCAAAACTACTAGGGACTTCTCCAGACACCATGAAGTTCACTATATCAGCATACCATGGCAAATTCTCATCACGCAGAGCCTTAACTTCTTCCAGCCTGACTTTCTCATCAAAACTCTCTTTCAAGATCATGATTGCCATAAGCTGTTCTTCAGGCATAGAATCATTGATGGGGATCATGTCTTCAACTCGCATCCTAGAGAGATGATCAGCAACTCCATTCTCTACTCCCTTTTTGTCCACAACTTCTATGTCAAACTCTTGAAGCAAAAGGATCCATCTGAGAAGTCTTGGCTTTGTATCTTTCTTAGCAAAGATGTGCCTAAGGGCAGCATGGTCAGTGTGCACAATCACCTTGGACCCAACTATATAGCTTCGAAATTTCTCAAAGGCAAAGACTATGGCAAGGAGTTCCTTCTCTGTGGTTGCATACTTGCACTGAGCATCATCCATAGTCTTGCTTGCATAGTAGATGACATTGAGTTTCTTGTCTATCTTTTGGCCAAGCACTGCTCCTACTGCATAGTCAGATGCATCACACATAATCTCAAATGGGTGATCCCAGTTTGGAGCTTGAACTATTGGGGCAGATACCAGAGCATCCTTCAGCAAGGTCCAAGACTTGTGGCATTCTTCATCAAACTCAAAATCTGTCTCCTTGCACAGAAGCCTTGTCAAGGGTCTTGCTATCTTTGAGAAATCCTTGATGAATCTTCTGTAGAACCCTGCATGACCCAGAAAACTCCTGATGTCCTTCACAGTCTTGGGAACAGGAAGCTGCAACATGACATCCACCTTAGCTCGATCGAGCTCGATCCCTTTCTCGGAAATCTTGTGTCCAAGCACAATCCCTTCTCGAACCATGAAGTGGCACTTCTCCCAGTTGAGTACTAGATTTGTCTCCTCACACCTCTGCAACACCCTGCACAAGTTAGACAAACATGAGGAGAAGGATGCTCCATAGACTGAGAAATCGTCCATGAAGACTTCTACCATCTCCTCTATCAAATCCGAGAAAATGGATCATCCTCCATTTGATCATTTTCATCCATCACTGCATTTTTAATTTATTCCATAATTTTAATAATTTTGTCACAATTTATTCTGGTCATTTTCATATAGATCTGTCATCTCTGAGTGGTTGCATAATTTTTAAAATTGTTTCTATGATTTTTAAAATTGTTGCAACAATTTTCCTTTGAACTTTTGACTGCCGCGCTTTGTTTAAATTTCAGGTACTATGGCGTCAGAAAGGAAGAAGGATCAAGCGGTGTTGGAGAGGCCTTGCTAGATCAGATCAAGAAGATGATGGCAGAGAGTTTGATCGGAGAGAACAGATCAAACAAGGCAAGAGGAAGGAGACTAGGAATCCGATACATATCTCCGATGGAGACAAGAGGAACGATCCCATGGCATCTCATGGTCTCGGTGACGATCAGGCCATGCTACTACGGTAGCGGTCATTCCTCTCACTCAAGCCGGCGCCGATCTAGAAGGCCGCGAGATGAGCCAGACCGTATGTTGGAAAACTTGGGAGGTTACAAAATGAAGATTCCACCGTTCCATGGCCGGAACAATCCAGACGAGTATATGGACTGGGAAAAGAAGTGCGATTCAATTTCAACTTCACAACATCATTGGCGTCAACCGTGTCAAGCTAGCCGTGTCAGAATTCAACGATTATGCGCTAAGATGGTGGGAACAAATCATTTTGGCTCGCGAGATTGGTGGTGCCTTTGAGATTACCACTTGGGAAGAGATGAAGCGCATCATGAGGCAGCGATTTGTCCCTGGCCATTACCAACGTGAGCTACACTCCAAGCTCAGGAAGCTTACTCAGGGTCCAAGTCTGTGGAAGAATATTATCAAGAGATGGAGGTATGCTCTTGCGCGCCAATGTGATTGAAGACCGCGAGGCCACTATGTCTCGATTCCTTGGAGGCTTGAACCGTGAGATACAAGACATCGTGGAGATGCAAAATTGTGTGGCTATAGAATCCATGCTTCCACAAAGCTGTCTTGGCCGAGACACAATTGAAGAGGAGAAGCTCCACTCGATTCAATACAGAGCCGCGCCGACCAACCTTCACCGCGACTCAAGTCCTTTCGCGCCCAAGTCAGAAACAAACCTCTGGCTACTAATCAAGACAGGAGCCGGACTGAGCGCACTCCACCAGCCAGAACCCGTGATCTCAAGTGCTTTAGGTGTCAAGGGTTTGGGCATTATGCCTCTGATTGCTTGAACAAGAAAGGTATGATCATCCGCGCCAATGGAGAGATTGAGTCCGAGGAGGATCCAGACCGGAGAAACCAGAGAAAGAAGAAGAACCTGAGGAGTATGAAGCCGTGCCTGTCCAAGGCAAACTTCTGGTAGCCAGACGTGTCTTGAGTACTCAAGTCAGACTGACAAGGATGAGCAGCGCGAGAACCTCTTTCACACTCGATGCTTAGTCCAAGACAAGGTGTGCAGCTTGATTATCGATGGAGGAAGCTGTACCAATGTGGCGAGTGAAACTATGGTTGAGAAAAGTTGGGCTCATCAAGAAGCATCCACGGCCTTATCAAGCTTAACTGGTGAATGAAACTGGAGAGATGAGTGTCAAGAACCAAGTGGTTGTGCCTTTGTCTATTGGCAACTACAAGGATGAGATCCTTTGTGACATTCTGCCTATGGACGCCGGTCACATCATCTTAGGGCGACCTTGGCAATCTGATAGACGTGTGATCCATGATGGATTCACAAACCGCTACACTCTTCTTCATGAGGGCCGTAAAACCACTTTGATTCCTTTGAGTCCACAAGAAGTCTATGAAGATCAGTTACAACTTGCTGGAAAGGAAGTCAAGCCACCTAAGCCAAAGAACTTCCTGGTGAAGCCAAAACAGGTTAAACGTTCCTTGAACTTAAACAAACCTTTTCTCTTATTTATATATAAGGAACACTTGATTGGCTTGACTCACACTCCACCGGAGATTCCGAGTGAACTAGCTCAACTTTTGCAGGACTTTAGCGATGTGTTTCCTGAGATGATAGTCCACCAGGCTTGCCTCCTGTCCGAGGTATTGAGCACCAGATTGACTTTGTCCCCGGCTCCACTTTACCAAACAGGCCGGCTTACAGAACCAATCCGGTTGAGACCAAGGAGCTTCAGCGCCAAGTGGATGAACTCATGGAGAAAGGCCACATTAGAGAGAGCATGAGCCCTGTGCTGTTCCTGTTCTTCTTGTTCCTAAGAAGGATGGAAGCTGGAGAATGTGTGTCGACTGCCGCGCCATCAATAACATCACTGTAAAGTATCGACACCCTATTCCTAGACTTGATGACATGTTAGATGAGTTACATGGCTCTTGCATCTTCTCTAAGATTGATCTTAAGAGTGGTTATCACCAAATCCGGATGAAGGAAGGTGATGAGTGGAAAACCGCCTTTAAAACCAAGCATGGTCTATATGAGTGGCTTGTGATGCCATTTGGCTTGACCAATGCGCCAAGTACTTTCATGCGGTTGATGAATCATGTTCTTAGGTCTTTCATTGGTCATTTTGTGGTTGTTTATTTTGATGATATCTGATCTATAGCAGGACCTTTGATGATCATCTTAAGCATCTTGCCGCGGTCATGAAAGTTCTTAGGGAGGAGAAGCTGTTCGCCAACTTTAAGAAATGCACTTTTTGTACAATAATGTGGTGTTTCTAGGTTTTGTGGTGAGTGCAGATGGCGTACAGGTTGATGAAGAGAAGGTCGCAGCTATCCGGGATTGGCCTAGTCCTAAGACCGTTGGAGAGGTCAGAGCTTTCATGGCTTGGCCGGATTCTATCGGCGGTTTGTTAAGGATTTTAGCACCATAGCCGCGCCAATGACTGAGATTATCAAGAAGGAAGTTGGTTCAAGTGGGAGAAGGCACAGGAGGAAGCATTTCAGACTCTTAAGGATCGACTTACTAATGCACCTGTTCTTATGTTGCCTGACTTTCTTAAAACTTTTGAAATTGAGTGTGATGCCTCAGGAATCGGAATAGGAGCTGTTCTCATGCAAGACAAGAAGCCGATTGCCTACTTCAGTGAGAAACTTGGAGGAGCCACTCTCAATTACCAACCTATGATAAGGAGCTCTATGCGCTGGTCCGAGCCTTTGCAAACTTGGCAGCATTACTTATGGCCCAAGGAGTTTGTTATCACACTGATCATGAATCACTCAAGCACTTCAAAGGCCAACAGAAGCTCAACAAGAGGCATGCTCGCTGGGCCGAGTTCATAGAAACCTTTCCCTATGTGATCAAGTACAAGAAAGGTAAGGACAATGTCGTGGCCGACGCATTGTCTAGACGGTATACACTTCTCTCTACTCTTGATGCCAAACTCTTAGGCTTTGAGCAAATTAAAGAACTATATGCTTCTGATGCTGATTTTTCTGATATTTATCAAGCTTGTTCTAAGTTTGCTTCTGGTCGATATGTGAGACAGGATGGGTTTCTCTTTTATGAGAACCGCCTTTGTGTGCCTAATTGTTCTTTGAGGGACTTGTTTGTCAGGGAAGCACATGGAGGAGGACTTATGGGACATTTTGGAGTTGCCAAGACTATACAGATCATGAGAGATCATTTCCATTGGCCACATATGATTAGAGATGTGGAGCGCATATGTGCTCGCTGCACCACTTGTAAGTTGGCCAAATCCAAGGTCCAACCCCACGGTTTGTATACTCCTCTCCCTATTCCATCACAACCTTGGACTGATGTTTCCATGGACTTTGTTCTTGGTTTACCCAGAACTAGACATGGAAAGGATTCCATTTTGTGATTGTGGATAGATTTTCTAAGATGGCTCATTTTGTTGCATGCAATAAAACTGATGATGCATCTCATGTTGCTGCATTGTTCTTTAAAGATGTCATTAGATTGCATGGCATGCCGCGCACCATTGTTTCTGATCGTGACACTAAGTTCCTTAGTTACTTTTGGAAAACCTTGTGGTCTAAGTTAGGGACTAAGCTTTTATTTTCCACCACTTGTCATCCCCAAACTGATGGTCAAACTGAGGTTGTAAACCGGACTTTAGGAACCTTGTTGCGTGTGCTGCTTAAAAAGAATCTTAAGAATTGGGATGATTGCTTGCCTCATATAGAATTTGCTTATAATCATTCTGTGCATTCAGCATCTAAGTTCTCTCCTTTTGAAATTGTTTATGGGTTTAAACCCCTGTCACCTTTGGATTTAATGCCTCTGCCTTTGAGTGAAAGGTTGAGTACAGATGGACAGAAGAGAGCTGAGATGGTGAAGAAGATACATGAGCAGGCAAAGAAGAACATTGAGGAAAAGACAAGGCAGTATGCCAAGAAGGCCAACAAGGGACGGCGCGAATTAATCTTTGAGGCTGGAGATCAAGTTTGGATTCATCTTCGCAAAGAAAGATTCCCAGCCGAGCGCAAGTCCAAGCTATGCCGCGCATTGATGGCCCTTTCACAGTCACCAAGCGAATCAACAATAACTCTTATAGAGTTGATCTCCAAGGTAAGTACAATATCAGTCCTAGTTTTAATGTTGCTGACTTATCTCCTTTTCTTGCAGATGAACCAGATTTGAGGTCAAATCCTTTTCAAGAGGGAGGGGATGATGCGATCATGGACAAGGAGGTTCAGGAAAACAGCTTTTGGCCGAGGAAGAAGATGGAATGGAGCAGCTTTAGCCGAGGAGGGACTTGAAGCAGAGCAGCTTGTACCTGAGGAGAGCATAGCCATTCCAACTGGCCCAATCACTCGTTCAAGAACTAAGGCACTAAACCAAGCAATTGGCAAAGTCCTTAGCTGTTTGAACAACAAGAAACAAGCCAACTACTCTGGTTTGCTTGAAGGCCTTACATGGGATAAAGAGACAAGTGTGTTTGGTGTGCTCTTTTTCCCTTGTCAAGTTTTGTCCCTTTGGGTTTTCTTGACAAGGTTTTTAACGAGGCCCATTGCACACTTCCAAATCCTCTCTTTTCTCATTTGTGAAGGTCCGGCCCAAGATTCAAAGGAGAGCGCCAAGAAGCCGAAGGGTCGTCTTTCTCAGTCTTTGTTTCATTTATGTTTTGTGTTTTCGAGATGATTGGAGCTTGTTCCAATCATCTCTCTCTCTCTCTCTCTCTCTCTCTCTCTCTCTCTCTTTAAAACCCTAGTCCTTTCTCTCTTTGAAACTTATCAATCATTTTAATCAAAAACCTCTCTTTTATGTTTGATCATCACTCTGTCCACTTGTTGTGCGTAATATCAATCAAGTCCACAGACCTTTCACTTGTTGTGCGTAATATCAACAAGTCGAAGGTGGTGTTAGAGTTCCATTTCCGCGGGTTCTCTAGTATAGCCACTCGATCCATTCATCATTCATTCATCATTGGATCCTTTGTGTTCCAATCCGCTCAAACACTTAGCTTTCAAGCCGATCTATTCCAGGGGCGCATCACAACCCTTCCCATCCCGCTGTACGACCCATCCCACGACCAGCCCATTAAGGAAAGGCATAAATCGTAATATGTCCAAAAGTGTGTTTATGAGTTGTAATTTTTTAAAAGCCACTTAAGGAAAGCTTGTTCTTCATCCTTCCTTCCTCCCTTCCTCCCCACGTCCTGAAATAGGATAGTGAATGGGATCTGCCGAATTTCAAAAGGCGTTAACTTTTGCTAGAGTTATCCGTTTCTGGATTTTTTTTTTTTGATCCGCTCGATTTTTCGAGGCCTAGGGTGGGCGGCTGCGCAGCGGCCGTCGGCCTCTTTTTGCCATTCGGATTTTTATTTGTGTGTTTTTGGCCATTTTTATGTTTTAAGTGGCGATTTCATGTACCATTCTCTCATGAATTGGGGATTTGAACACATCAGTGTTCTTATATATTTCTATAGTTTCATGCCCATGTGATCGGATCTCCATATACTCGACTATTTTTATGTCCACGGATTGCTTTGTGTAACTCTTATGTTTGAGCATCTACGTAGGTTTGTGGTATATTACTACGTTCCTTAGTCACGCAACCCGAGTTCGACTCCACCGGTCTTGCATCCTCTTTCTTATTTTTAGCTCTTTTGTATTCTTCAACTCATTCACAAATTTCCCGGTTTTCTCTGTTTCCACGGCCGATGCATGCATAGAATCGTCCCGGCCAGACCGCTCCACGGACTTCATGCATTCCAAAATTTTAACTCGAATTTTTTCTAAGTGTTTTTATCGAACCTCTCGGTCTGATTTTGCAAAGACATGAAAACGTGAGAAATGACTGATTTGATTTTGGGAGGAACATACGAGGAGATACTCTGATAGACCCCTGATTATAGATCGGCACTTTGAAGCAAGATTAGAAGATGGATGATGAGTGATGGTTTGATGAAGTGATGGAAAGACTTGGGCGAGATGATGGATTGAAAGGGGATGATCGATGGCTATAACAAGAGATCTGTGGAAGGATCTCTCAACACCAGACTTGTTGATCTCAAGGATATTACACACCAAGAGATGGACAAGGCTTGACTTCTCCAGGATATGACGCACCAGAAGAAGAACAAGAATAGAATTCTTAAGGATATGACACACCCTAAGAACACTAAGGATCTTAGATATTACACACTAAGAAGTTTGAGTAAACAAACAAAAGAGGTTTTTAGATTAAAAGTTTGATCCAGAAACAAAGAAGGAGTTC